GCGTTGCGGGCAGCTACTCGACCGCCACCAACCTCACCGCCGCGGGCGAGTGCACCGACGCCTCGCCGGGCCACTTCGCCACCACCGGCTCCACGCAGCAGACGGCGTGCGCCAAGGGGTCGTACACGGACGCGTACGGGCAGGGCGCGTGCACGCCCTGCGCCGGCGGCACGTACCAGGACGAGGAAGGCAAGACGGCGTGCGAGCCGTGCGAGGCGGGAAGCCACTGCGCTGTTGGCGCGGCGGCGGCGCTGCCGTGCGAGGCTGGCAGCTACTCGAGCGCCACCAACCTCACCGACGCGAGCGAGTGCACCGACGCCACGCCGGGCCACTTCGCCACCACCGGCTCCACCGAGCAGACGGCGTGCCGCGAGGGCAGCTTCGCCAACGGCACCCGCAACGACGCGTGCGAGCTGTGCCCCGAGGGGTACTACCAAGACGAGCCCGCCGCCGCCGCCTGCGTCCGCTGCGCTGCTGGCAAGTTTTGCCCGGTGGGGTCGTCGCGCGAGCTGGACGCGCAGTGCGAGGCGGGCACGTACGCGAGGCTGACCGACCGGAGCGGCGACCCCGAGTGCCTCGACTGCCCCGCCGGCTCGTCGTGCGGCGGCGGGGCGGCGCCGCCCTCCGAGTGCTCGCCGGGCTCTTTCGCTGCCACGGCCGGCCTCTCCGAGTGCGCCAGCTGTGCGGGCGGGACGTACCAGGGCGAGTCGAACGCGACGAGCTGCCTTCCGTGCGTGGAGGGCAGCTACTGCGCCGAGGGCGCGTCGGCGCCGCTGCCGTGCGTTGCGGGCAGCTACTCGACCGCCACCAACCTCACCGCCGCGGGCGAGTGCACCGACGCCTCGCCGGGCCACTTCGCCACCACCGGCTCCACGCAGCAGACGGCGTGCGCCAAGGGGTCGTACACGGACGCGTACGGGCAGGGCGCGTGCACGCCCTGCGCCGGCGGCACGTACCAGGACGAGGAAGGCAAGACGGCGTGCGAGCCGTGCGAGGCGGGAAGCTACTGCGCCGTTGGCGCGGCGGCGGCGCTGCCGTGCGAGGCTGGCAGCTACTCGAGCGCCACCAACCTCACCGACGCGAGCGAGTGCACCGACGCCACGCCGGGCCACTTCGCCACCACCGGCTCCACCGAGCAGACGGCGTGCCGCGAGGGCAGCTTCGCCAACGGCACCCGCAACGACGCGTGCGAGCTGTGCCCCGAGGGGTACTACCAGGACCAGCCCGCCGCCGCCGCCTGCGTCCGCTGCGCTGCTGGCAAGTTTTGCCCGGTGGGGTCGTCGCGCGAGCTGGACGCGCAGTGCGAGGCGGGCAAGTACGCGAGGCTGACCGACCGGAGCGGCGACCCCGAGTGCCTCGACTGCCCCGCCGGCTCGTCGTGCGGCGGCGGGGCGGCGCCGCCGTCCGAGTGCTCGCCGGGCTCTTTCGCCGCCACGGCCGGCCTCTCCGAGTGCGCCAGCTGTGCGGGCGGGACGTACCAGGGCGAGTCGAACGCGACGAGCTGCCTTCCGTGCGTGGAGGGCAGCTACTGCGCCGAGGGCGCGTCGGCGCCGCTGCCGTGCGTTGCGGGCAGCTACTCGACCGCCACCAACCTCACCGCCGCGGGCGAGTGCACCGACGCCTCGCCGGGCCACTTCGCCACCACCGGCTCCACAGAGCAGACGCCGTGTCGCGAGGGCAGCTTCGCCAACGGCACCCGCAACGAGGCGTGCGAGCTGTGCGCCCAGGGCTACTACCAGAACGAGACCGGCCAGGCCGCCTGCGTCCGCTGCGCTGCTGGCAAGTTTTGCCCGGTGGGGTCGTCGCGCGAGCTGGACGCGCAGTGCGAGGCGGGCAAGTACGCGAGGCTGACCGACCGGAGCGGCGACCCCGAGTGCCTCGCCTGCCCCGCCGGCTCGTCGTGCGGCGGCGGGGCGGCGCCGCCCTCCGAGTGCTCGCCGGGCTCTTTCGCCGCCACGGCCGGCCTCTCCGAGTGCGCCAGCTGTGCGGGCGGGTCGTACCAGAGCGAGTCGAACGCGACGAGCTGCCTTCCGTGCGTGGAGGGCAGCTACTGCACCGAGGGCGCGTCGGCGCCGCTGCCGTGCGTTGCGGGCAGCTACTCGACCGCCACCAACCTCACCGCCGCGGGCGAGTGCACCGACGCCTCGCCGGGCCACTTCGCCACCACCGGCTCCACGCAGCAGACGGCGTGCGCCAAGGGGTCGTACACGGACGCGTACAAGCAGGGCGAGTGCACGCCCTGCGCCGGCGGCACGTACCAGGACGAGGAAGGCAAGACGGCGTGCGAGCCGTGCGAGGCGGGAAGCTACTGCGCTGTTGGCGCGGCGGCGGCGCTGCCGTGCGAGGCTGGCAGCTACTCGAGCGCCACCAACCTCACCGCCGCGAGCGAGTGCACCGACGCCACGCCGGGCCACTTCGCCACCACCGGCTCCACCGAGCAGACGGCGTGCCGCGAGGGCAGCTTCGCCAACGGCACCCGCAACGACGCGTGCGAGCTGTGCCCCGAGGGGTACTACCAAGACCAGCCCGCCGCCGCCGCCTGCGTCCGCTGCGCTGCTGGCAAGTTTTGCCCGGTGGGGTCGTCGCGCGAGCTGGACGCGCAGTGCGCAGCGGGCACGTACGCCAGGCTGACCGACCAGAGCGGCGACCCCGAGTGCCTCGCCTGCCCCGCCGGCTCGTCGTGCGGCGGCGGGGCGGCGCCGCCGTCCGAGTGCTCGCCGGGCTCTTTCGCCGCCACGGCCGGCCTCTCCGAGTGCGCCAGCTGTGCGGGCGGGACGTACCAGGGCGAGTCGAACGCGACGAGCTGCCTTCCGTGCGTGGAGGGCAGCTACTGCGCCGAGGGCGCGTCGGCGCCGCTGCCGTGCGTTGCGGGCAGCTACTCGACCGCCACCAACCTCACCGCCGCGGGCGAGTGCACCGACGCCTCGCCGGGCTACTTCGCCACCACCGGCTCCACGCAGCAGACGGCGTGCGCCAAGGGGTCGTACGCGGACGCGTACAAGCAGGGCGCGTGCACGCCCTGCGCCGGCGGCACGTACCAGGACGAGGAAGGCAAGACGGCGTGCGAGCCGTGCGAGGCGGGAAGCCACTGCGCTGTTGGCGCGGCGGCGGCGCTGCCGTGCGAGGCTGGCAGCTACTCGAGCGCCACCAACCTCACCGCCGCGAGCGAGTGCACCGCCGCCTTGCCGGGCCACTTCGCCACCACCGGCTCCACCGAGCAGACGGCGTGCCGCGAGGGCAGCTTCGCCAACGGCACCCGCAACGACGCGTGCGAGCTGTGCCCCGAGGGGTACTACCAGGACCAGCCCGCCGCCGCCGCCTGCGTCCGCTGCGCTGCTGGCAAGTTTTGCCCGGTGGGGTCGTCGCGCGAGCTGGACGCGCAGTGCGAGGCGGGCACGTACGCCAGGCTGACCGACCAGAGCGGCGACCCCGAGTGCCTCGACTGCCCCGCCGGCTCGTCGTGCGGCGGCGGGGCGGCGCAGCCGTCCGCGTGCTCGCCGGGCTCTTTCGCCGCCACGGCCGGCCTCTCCGAGTGCGCCAGCTGTGCGGGCGGGTCGTACCAGAGCGAGTCGAACGCGACGAGCTGCCTTCCGTGCGTGGATGGCAGCTACTGCGCCGAGGGCGCGTCGGCGGCGCTGCCGTGCGAGAAGGGCAGCTACTCGCGCGCCACCAACCTCTCCGCCGCGAGCGAGTGCACCGACGCCTCGCCGGGCTACTTCGCCACGACCGGCTCCACCGAGCAGACGGCGTGCGCCAAGGGGTCGTACACGAACGAGACCAGGCAGGGCGCGTGCACGCCCTGTTCCGGCGGCGCGTACCAGGATGCGGAGGCGCAGACGGCGTGCAAGCCGTGCGAGGCGGGCGGCTACTGCGCTGTTGGCGCGGCGGCGGCGCTGCCGTGCGAGAAGGGCAGCTACTCGCGCGCCACCAACCTCTCCGCCGCGAGCGAGTGCACCGACGCCTCTCCGGGCCACTTCGCCACCACCGGCTCCACGCAGCAGACGGCGTGCGCCAAGGGGTCGTACACGAACGAGACCAGGCAGGGCGAGTGCACGCCCTGCGCCGGCGGCACGTATCAGGACGAGGAGGCGCAGACGGCGTGCAAGCCGTGCGAGGCGGGCGGCTACTGCGCTGTTGGCGCGGCGGCGGCGCTGCCGTGCGAGGCTGGCAGCTACTCGCGCGCCACCAACCTCTCCGCCGCGAGCGAGTGCACGGCCTGCCCCGCCGGCAGCGCCTGCTCCACGGGCAGCATCGAGCCGACGCCGTGCTTCCCTGGCACTTTCGCCGCAAGTAAGGGACAGTCCAAGTGCGCGCCTTGCCCTCCCGGCACCTCGTCGGATCAAGGCAGCGACGCATGCGACGCGTGCGAGGCTGGCCGTTACGCCGCCAACGCTGGCCAGGGCCTTTGCGTCCCATGTCCTCACCCCCTCAGCTCGGTCAACGGCAGCACGATCTGCTCGTTTTGCATGGACGACTACTACCTGCGGAACACCTCGGCCGACCCCGACGACATCTTCACCTCCCCAACCGAGTACTGCAAGCCGTGCCCGCCGCACACCGACTGCAGCGCTGGCACTACTCTTGCGTCCCTCGGCGTGGACGCCGGCTACTGGCGCGCCTCCGACGCCACCTCGGAGCTCCACCGCTGTGACTCAGAGACGTGCTCTGGCGGCTCCGGCCAGCCCTCCCGCCGCCGCCGCCTCACCGACGGAGATGACGACCCCTACTGCACCGCCGGCCACACCGGCCCGCTCTGCGAGGTCTGCGTCGCAGACTCGGACTACTTTAGCTCTGCCGAGGGGCGCTGCGTCGCCTGCCCCTCGCCGGCTCGCTCCGCCGGCATCTTTGTCGGCTTTGTCATCGTCATCGCTGTGCTCGCCGCCGCCTATGCTGGGCTCCGTCGCCTCCCCTTCTCCCGCCGCCTCCGGAGGCGGGCCGCCCGTATCGAGTCCGAGGTCGGCTTGCAGCCCAAGTTCAAAGTCGTCGTCAGCTTCTACCAGGTGAGCAGCATCCTCGGCCTCGTCTACGGCGTCCGCCTCGACGAGGACTTTACCCGCTGGCTCGACGTGCTCAAGCTGTTCAGCCTGGACTTGTTCGGCGTCGCCATCCCCGGCCGCTGCATCGGAGCCATGAGCACGCGGCTGCTCGTCGCAGGCATCTGGCCGTACGCCGCCGTCGCCTTCGTGTCGCTCGCCATTGTGGCGGTGGCGGCGGTCCTCAACAACAAGCAGACATTCGACCGCAACCTCGTTGCCCGCGTGCTCTACTGGGCGATCTTCATCTTCTACCTGGTGCTGCCTTCCGTCTCGCGATCCATCTTCAGCGCGAGGCTGTGCGAGTCCTTTGGCTACGACGACGCCACAGGCCAGCGCATCAGCTACCTGCTCGCCGACCCGTCGCTCACGTGCGACGCCGGGCCGACGTGGGACGACGAGACGAGCGGACTCGCGCCGTACTTTTGGGCCTTCGTCGCCCTCTGGCCCGTCCTCGTGCCGCTCGGCTTCATGGCGCTGCTGCTCCGTGTCCGCAAGCCCGTGGCTGCGCAGCGCGCAACGCCGCTCTCTCGTGCGACGAGCTTCCTCTGGCGGGACTACTCTGCCGGCTTCCTCTTCTGGGAGGTGCTCGACCTGGTCCGCAAGATCTTCCTCACCTCGATGGTGCTCTTCATCGATCAGGAGTACGGCTCCAGGAAGCTGCTGCGCACCGTGGTCGCCGCCATCGTCTCGGCCACGTTTCTCACTCTGTTAGCGCTCGCCCGCCCCTACCGGCGCTCCGACGACCTCTACCTCGCGTGCGTCGCCAACTTGCTGCTCACCTGCTGCTTCGCGTCGGGAGTGGTCATCCAGGTCCGCGCCCCTTTCAACTCGCCACCCCTCTCTCCCGCGTCCGCACAACTTCACCACCCCGCCCCCTCGCCGCCGCAGCTCTGCGACAGCACCGAGTACGAAGACATGTGCTACAAGCTCGTTGGCTACAAGACCTCGCGCAGCGCCACCATCTTTGTCGTCGTCCTCACCGCCGCCATGCTCGCCGTCTCAATAGCCATCATCCTCGTATCGACGGTCAGCGCCGCGAGGGCGAAGACCATGCGGCTCGCCTCGTCGAAGCGCGAGCCGATGCGCGACGGCATCACCCTCGCCGACGGCCAGCAGTGGCACCTCTTCCTCAGCCACGTGTGGAGCACGGGGCAGGTTTGCCACCCCTTGCCCCAGCTCTGTGTGTGGAGAGAAACTTACCTGAACTGACCTTCCACTCTCGCAGGACGCCGTCGCCGTCATCAAGAATGAGCTCCTGCAGTTCCTCCCCGGATGCGAGATCTTCCTCGACGTCGACGACCTCAAGAACATCGGAGAGCTGGAGGCGTACATTGGTCGCTCGCAGGTGGTGCTCTGCTTCCTGTCGCGGGGCTACCTGCGCTCGACGAACTGCCTGCGAGAGATCCGTGCCGCGCTGGAGAAGGGCAAGCCGCTCGTGCTCGTCCACGAGGCAGACCCGGACAAGGGCGGAGGCACGCTCGCCGAGCTGCGATCGGAATGCCCCGAGGACCTGCAGGCTGCCATATTTGAGGCTGGCTGGCCGATGGCGGTGTGGCATCGGATCGAGGCCTTCCAGCACGTCTCGCTCAAGGTCATCGCCGAGGCGCTGCTGCTGAAGACGCCAAAGTACGCCAGGAAGAGGTCGCTGCCCCTGTACATCCCGGGCGAGGTCCGAGCCAAAGACCTCGCCTTCCACAAGCCTGTGGTCCTCTGGGCCTCGACTTTGAACGCCGGGGCGCGAGACCTCGCCGCTGCGGTCGTGGCGGCCGTGGCTGGCGGCAAGATCTCGATCACCGCCGCAACGCCCTCGCGCCTCTCCTCGCTGCCTCGCTCGAGCGGTAGCGGCGGTGACGACGACGAGGCGACGCACATGCTCCTCTACCTGAACAGGGTGACGTGGGCTGGCGATGGCGCCGAGGCGCTCGCAGAGCAGGTGCGCGCCGCGCGCGAGGCCAGGCTGCCCATCGTCATGGCGCACGAGAACGACGCTGTCCGCAACGGCTGCATCTTTGGCCACTTTTTCGAGGTGACGCCGCGCGACTTGATTGCCGATGGGCTGTACAACGACCTCGCCGTCGGCTGCCACTCGGCCCCGCACCGGCAGGTGTCGCTCGCCCTCCTCGCAAACGCGCTCGGCGCAACCAAGCAGACGGCCCAGTCGCGCATGCGCCGCGTCACTCACGCTCGAGTGACGCAGACCCGCGGCTCCTCTTCAACGACGGAGCCGTCGAATGGCGACGACGTTGTCGAAGAGTCGTCGGCAACGCAGGCTCGCCAGATCGTCTGAGCGGAACAGCTTCCGCGTAGCAAACCACGGACAGCGTACACGCGCGCGGCGCACACACATGGCACAATCCCCTCTTCCGGTTCCGCTATGTGACCACCGACGTTCATTGAAGTCTGCCAGACTTCACGGGCTCATGCATCAGAGCATTGCCGCCAGACTGACCCGGAGAATCACCCGGCATGCGTCGCTGGGTTCCGCGCCGTTTTCTCCAATTGTCCAATACTGCCGTTATTGGGCACAAATCCGCCTCTGAAGACACATCTGTAAGTCTGGTGCACTGGCAGGAGCCATACTCGCATAGGGGACGCGTGCTAGCTGACTGTAGCCAGCTTCCCGGGGCCTACGGCGTCTACCGGGAGCCGCCCGGGCCATCGACCTCGGGAGCTCTCCCGCACCGTTTAAGCGTTTAAGACCGTTTAAGGAATCGGCGGCCCAGGCAGCCTTAAAACGGGCCTAGGCCCGTTTTAAGTCGTTTAAGCCGCAGGCGCCCCAGGGCCCACCCTTTTAAGCCTAGGGGTCCCCTAAGCATACTGACGTAGTAGTGTCTGTCTTGTTTGCGAGATCTTCAAACGAATACTTTAAAGTCTCGACAATCACTAAGCTGCTTATGTGGCACCGCAGAGGCTCCCTTGGGGGTGCCTGAGGCCACCCCAACCACTCACTAAGCCGTACGTAGACGAATTGGGCGCTACTTTTTTCGTTTACCTACATTAAGGGAGTACGGGAAAGTCCCGCGGACGAGAAGAGTCCAAGAAGGTCCCCTGAAGGGTCGGCGGGGAGAGGCGGGCTCGGCCGAGCGCTGCGGCGACGCGGCGGAGCGAGCCGGCGTGCCGATCGGCGGGAGAAGGACGGGAAGCCCCGTGGACGAGGACCTAGCTCGCAGTAGCGACTCCATCCGGATCCTCGGCGATGGCGCGAGATGCAGGCGAGATGGCGCCGAGATGCAGCCGAGGTGCAGCCGAGGTGCAACCGAGGTGCAGCCGAGATATGGCGCCGAGATGCAGCCGAGATCCTCCGTGGGCAAGAGCGACTATCGCTTCCTTTGCACAAGCATGGCCTGCTCATAGCACGCGAGCTCGCACGCTGTGATCAATCTCTCATTGACCAGCTCGACCGTCGGCGTGCAATTGCCGCAGTGGAAGCTGCGGGCCACGTTATGGTAGAATGCGGCGCGGTGCGGGCGGTGCGTGAAGGGGCCTCGTCGGCCGCACGACCCGAGGAGCACGTCGACCGCAAGGTGCATGTGGTCGAAGAAGCGAGCCTCGGGCGTCTGGTGCGAGCGCATGAGCGCCTCGCTCACGCGCCGCTTCGCCCCACAGAAATCGGAGAATGCGGCCGGGCGCTCACCCGGCGGCGTCTCGGCGAGTAAGCTCTGCCCGCGGCGCAGCAGGCTGACAGAGATGTGCTTGTCCAGAGCGGCCGCGAACGCGGCAAGCTTGTCCGAAGGCAGAGGGCGTCCAGGCGGAGTGGCCGCTAGATCGTCGAATAGAACGTCGACGTACCGCTTCGTGGGTGGCAGCGCTGCCACGGCGCCGCGCCACGCGGACTCACTGGGATCGAGGAGCGCCGCATTGACGAGGTACAGCGAGGCTTCGACAAGGTCGTTCCTCACCTCAAAAAGGCTTGCCTGGTGCTTGAGCATGCGGACCACCTCGCCCGTTGTGATCAGTGTGGGCACCAGGTTGTCGGCCTTCACGAGGATGCTTTGAGCCTCGTTGTAGATGAAAACGCGAGTCGGCAGGCGCCCGCTCTCCGGGTCGAGGCGCGCCGCCACCTGGGCGAAGACGCCATTGAGGTCGGGACGAGAAGTGAGGCCGGTTGCACGGACATAGAAAGGCGTGCGCAACGCGAGGCCGATCTTAAAGGTCTCGAGCTGCTTTGCTCGCATCTCCGTCTTCGCCTCGTCGGTCTCCTCAGCGTCGACCGCACATGCGAGCTGAGCAAAAAGCGAGCTTGCAACAAGGCCACGCCGGACAGTGGCCTCGAAGAATGCGTGCCAGCGCTCGTCGATCGTTACACCGACGTCGTAGAAGGCAACGAAGCTGTCGTCGACGACGAGCGGCATATGTGAAGCCATATCTTGCACCCGACAACGGTGCGCGCGTCGAAGGCGAGGGAGTGGACGGGCGGCCGCCGGCGGGCGCTCATCAGTAGAGGGCCCACAGCGTCCTAATCTAAAATCTGAGGATTCAGGATTGAGGCATCGCTTTAGTGAGGCCAAAGTGAGTTTATGGATGGGTGAGAACGATGCGCGACACGGGGAGGCACGCGGACCGACTCGTCGGCGACTATGCTGCACGCCGTTTCAGAATTTTTCTCAGCGTGAGCGAGACGTGGAAGAGTGCCACCGTCGGGTAGGACGGGTCGGCCCGGAGCAGCGGAGTAGCCGTCGTGGTCGCGGCGAGCAGCGCCGGCCACTCCGGCGCCGCGTCGGCAACATGGGAGCATGTCCACCGCCACTTCGCGGTCGCAGCGCTGTTGTCGCCCAAAACGCCGCTATGTACCTTTTCGGGCAAACCATCGAGCTGTATGTCGATTTCGACTTGACGGCGGCATGGAGGCATGATGGAGGCATGATGCCTCCATGCCGCCGTCAAGTGACGGCGGCATGGAGGCATGATGGAGGCATGATGCCTCCATGCCGCCGTCAAGTTGGAGCCAGTCTGCGGCGACCACAGCGCTCAGAAAGGTACATAGCGAGCTTTTCAGAGTCAAGCGATTGCGCGAAATCCCACACTGGTGGATTTTGGGGCGCTGTGGGCCCCCTATACATCAGACCACAGTGTTCGCGAAAGCTAATTAAGAGGTTCCTCTTTCCCGCCCCCCCCCGGCAAGGCGCGCGATACACTCTACTTCTAACACCACGATGGCGCGCACTGGCATTACAAACAAGAGACCCCGCCCACATATAAAAAGGCCAAACGGACTGGCAAAACAAAAACAGTGAACACGCGTGCAGTTTGAACCAACGTCCCGCTCCACCGTGCCGGCAGGGATTAACCGTCTCGCGTCTGCCGACTCGCGACTGCCGTGACCCGGTGCCGCAATCCCCTCGAGCAACGCTTGTAACCCCCGGGTGGGGCCTTCGGCGCTGCTCTCGCGCGGTGCCCCGGATGTATGTGTCCTGCGGAGCGGAGCATGGGCCGGACAGCCGGACCCCGCCTCCAATCTAAGTCAGGGCCGCCAGCCGTGTTGCGCCGCGACGCGGGCGAAAGCCTGCCGCGCCTCCGCCTCGTCGTAGGGGACGTGCGCCCTTGCTTGATCGAGCCGGCCGCTGCCGTCGAGGAAGGCTTGCCGCACCTGCTCACCCGTTGGGCCGTGAAGAGTCGCACCCCCTCGCCGCCGTGCGAGGGAGCAGCCTGCGCACGCACCATGAGCAGCGCCGCCTCGACGGTGTACTCGGAGCGCCACCCGCTCGACGTGAGCAGCTCCATGCAGATCGACCCGCCGACAGTGACGTGGCCCGTGTGGAAGGCGAAGCGCGGCGCGACCACCTGCCGAGATGCAGCCGAGATGCAGCCGAGATGCAGCCGAGATGCAGCCGAGATATGGCTCGCGCGACCACCCGCAAGAAGGGCGGCGAGGAGGGGAAGTCCGCGCCGAAAGACACCTCGAGCTCAACCGTCGGCCGCACCTGCACAGCACGCTTCCGAGAAGGTTCCGACCAGGTCCCGTGGATGCGAAGGCTCCGCCGTCGGCCGCACGTGGAACGCGGCGGCGTGAGCCTCGACCTCGTCCCGCAGCGCGCAGCCGGCCGGCACGCTCATCTCGACCCGCCAGCGCAGCACGTTGGACTCGTCGGGCAGGGTGACGGCCAGCTCCGGAAGGCTCTCCGCCTCGAGCAGTGAACGCACTCATTCAGCTGACTCAGTCAATGGACTAGCTCATAGCTCCGGAAGGCTCTCCGCCTCGAGCAGTGAACGCACTCATTCAGCTGACTCAGTCAATGGACTAGCTCATAGCTCCGGAAGGCTCTCCGCCTCGAGCAGTGAACGCACTCATTCAGCTGACTCAGTCAATGGACTAGCTCATAGCTCCGGAAGGCTCTCCGCCTCGAGCAGTGAACGCACTCATTCAGCTGACTCAGTCAATGGACTAGCTCATAGCTCCGGAAGGCTCTCCGCCTCGAGCAGTGAACGCACTCATTCAGCTGACTCAGTCAATGGACTAGCTCATAGCTCCGGAAGGCTCTCCGCCTCGAGCCGACTCGAAGTTAGGCCTCGCAGCTCTTTGACGACCGCCTGGCCGAGACGGGAGCAGCGCCGAGGTACAGCCGAGGCACAGCCGAGGCACTGCCGAGGTACAGCCGAGGTGGAGCCGACAGCCGAGGTGGAGCCGAGGTGGAGCCGAGACTGCCAACGATGCCTGCACGGTTGCCGGCGGCACCTCCGCCGGCGGCGGCCGAGGCGGCGGCTGCGGGGCGAGCGATGAGGGAGCGCCCGGCGGGCCGGCAGCGCGCTCCGTGGCGCGCTCCGCCGCTCGCTGCCGCAGCGCCGCACGCGCTGCGCGCGCACGCGCCAGCGCCCTTTCCGCCTCGGCGCGTGCGCGCGCCGCCTGCTGCCGGAGCACCTCCGCATCGACGGTGTCGCCAGGGGCGCACTGCAACGCACGAGGCCGCTTGCCGTGCCGCGCCTGGCGGGAAGGGCCAAGGGCATGTCATCGGCATGTCCAGGACACGGCGTCGGCCGCCCGCCGAACTCGCGCGTTTGCGGGCCAAGGGAAGAGCTCGGGCGGGGCCGGCACGTATGGCTCCGGGTCGACGCCGCGCGCGCTCGGCGGCAGCGGCCCTCGGACCAGCGCCCCTCCGATGCCAGCGCCTCCGATGCTAGCGAGCTGTTGCTCCTGCTCCTGCTTGAGGTTTGCCTTTTGCGCGTCGATGGCTTGGTTGAGGTCCCATGAGCTGGCGCTGGCGCTGGCGCTGGCGCTGGCGCTGGCGCTGGCGCTGGCGCTGCTGGAGCTGGAGCTGGCGTCGGGCCTGCCCTGGCGCCGGAGGACCTCTCGGGTGAGCTCGTCGGCACTGGCAGTGAGCCACTGGCTGGCGCCGGCGCTTGCACTCTCGCTGGCGCCAGCCGCGCCGGCTGCCTGGATGGTTGCGGCGGCTGCCGGCCCACCAGAGGAGCCGGAGGAGTAGCTAGGGGGGGGCGGCGGCGGCGGCGGCGGCGGCCGCGCAGGGTACGCCCCCCCTGAGGGGGCACTTCCTCCCTGCCATTTTTGCCGGAGACGGAACACTTCGTCGTGCGAGAGCGGGCCTAATGGTCAGTGATGGCGGTGACCGCGTCGGTTTCCGAGCCGCAGCTCGATGTCGCGGGAGACTCGAGGCGGCCCTTGAGCTGGCCAGACTGCAGGGCGGAGAGCGGGACGGACGGGATCACGCCCGGAAAGAGGGCGATCACCTATCATTGCCGATGAGTGAGGTCCTCGAGTGGCGAGGACGGGGTCACGCCCGAGGAGAGGGAGGGCGATCACCGTGTCGCGCTCGACGTCGCGGAGGTAGAAGCAGAGCTCGTCCGCCCAGCCCGGCGCGTGGCCTACGCGGCCGAGGCCGGCCTGCGGGCGGCGGCGGCGAGGGCGGGGGTGGGGAGGCGGGGGTGGGGCAGGGAGGGGGTGGGGCAGGGAGGGGGTGGGGGGGGGAGGGCGACGACGGTGGCGGTGGCAGGCCTGCGGGTTGAGCACAGACTGGTACAGCTCCGACGCGTCGAAGATGTCGCCGCGCAGCAGCAGCTGGATCACGCGCGCCTTCTTCATCGCCTTCGCCGCCTCCGCCTAGCTACACGCGGCAGAGCTGGTCCCCATATCTCCCCATATCTCCCCATGTCTCCCCATGTCTCCCCATGTCTCCCCATGTCTCCCCATGTCTCCCCATGTCTCCCCATATCTCCCCATGTCTCAGGCCTCCGCGTGCTGCGCGATGCTTTGCGCCCGCCGCGCCGCCTCGGCCGCCTCCTGCACCTCCGCCCCCGGCGTCGCAAAGGTCATCGCCGCGAGGGGGAGCTGCCACTCGTTCTCCTCCACCACGACGTAGCTGTGCCGCTCCTGCGAGCAGCCTCCGAGAGACAGGATCATGCTAGCGCCCTACACCTCCCTACACCTCCCACCACCTCCCACCACCTCCCTCCACCTCCCGCCACCCCCCTACCCTGTCCATCCAACTTCCTCCACACCATACCCCTCCCTCCGACTCCCTCTGCCCCTCTCCTCTTACCACCCAAGACAGCTTGCAGAGCTCCCGGTCATGGGGAGGGGAGCCCGCCCCCCGTCGGGCGGCGGCGCATATCTCCCCATATCTCCCCATATCTCCCCATATCTCCCCGTCTGGCGGCGGCGGCGCGGCGGCGCACCGCGTGTGGCGGCTGCGGCTTGGCAGGGTCGAGCAGCACCTGGGGGGAGATATGGGGAGAGACGGGGAGAGATGGGGGGAGATGGAGGGGGAGATGGAGGCGGAGACTGAGGCGGAGATGAGGGCGGAGATGGAGGCGGAGATGGAGGCGGAGATGGAGGCGGAGATGGGGGATGGGGGGAGATCTGGGGAGATGCACCTAGAGTGAGAGGAGTGCACGCTCGACTGGTTGGGCACGTCGCACTCTCTGTGCATCGAGCGGTCGAGCTGCGCCGCAAAGACGAGCATGGTCGAACTGCTAATTAACTGCTAATTAACTGCTAATTAACTGCTAATTAACTACAGGAGCTGTGCCGCAAAGACGAGCATGGTACAGCCGCCGCGGCAGTAGGGCAGCGAGAGGTGCGCGAGAGACGCGAAGTACTCGCCCGGGCCAAAGGCCTGGTGAGGCCGGGGGGAGGCAACGTCACTCTCCACTCTTGGCTTGACGCTCCGCACCTCTCCTCTTGGCTTGACGCTCCGCACCTCTCCTCTTGGCCTGACGCTCCGCATCTCTCCTCCTCTTGCATGCAGGCCGCATCTCCCCTCCTCTTGCATGCAGCAGGCGCCCCGCGGCGGGGAGGGTGGGGGCGTGCAAAGCGCCTGCCCGCGCCGCAGGGCCGGGTCGAGCCCGGAGGCGAGGATGGGCGCGACGTTCTTGGGCGCCGTCCCGTGGAATACGAGCCTAGTGAGCATAGGGGGGAATTCCAGTCCCCCCTACGCTCACCCGGCTCGTTTTCCACGGGACGGCGCCCCCGAACGTCGCGCCCATCCTCGCCTCGGGGCTCGACCCGGCCCTGCGGCGCGGGCAGGCGCTTTGCACGCCCCCACCCTCCCCGCCGCGGGGCGCCTGCTGCATGCAAGAGGAGGGGAGATGCGGCCT